AAAGATGGTAACAACAATCTAGAAACATTTCGTATTTTGTGGCTTGATAGTGCAATCAATAGTTCGGAGAATGTAGCAGCAGGGGAACAATTGCGTAGCTTCATCAATCATTTGAACACATACGATAATAAAGATGAATGTCTACAAATCATCAAACAAGTGCCCAAGGAAGATCGTGTTGTTTTAATTGTTAGTGGCAGATTGGGCTACGAAGTGGTACCTCTTATTCACTCTTTGCCACAATTATCATCAGTTTATGTTTACTGCACCGATAGAGAAAAGAATAAGCAATGGGCTGATCAGTTCTCAAAAGTATATATGAAGTTCAGTTTTTTAAAGAACCATACTGTCTAATGTCATGTTGTTGTAGGTGAAAGCAGTTGTTGTTCGACTCGATGATCTCATTCATCGAATTCAATCAGATCATAAATATCGAAGAATAGAAGAAGAATCTTTATCTACTATTACCATATTCAATGCAAGTGACAATCCTGATCTTACATCAACAGGAATTAATGGGGAATTTGTACATTTTCAGCTACTGATCGATGTTCTAGTTCGAATGAAACGGAATGAAAAAGATAAACAAGAATTGTTTGCATTGTGTTCGACGATGTACCAAGATAATCAGAGTGAACTATCGACTTTACAGAAATTCAAGAACGACTATTTGCCTTCGGAAGCTTTATGATGGTATACAAGAGAATCCTTCATTTACAAGATGCTTAACAAAGCTCTACGTGTACAAAATGTCCATTTACTATTTCTCTTCCGCTTTCTGATCAAAGATATTTATCAGCAATTATATCAAAATCAGAATAAATCTATTGTTCAAGTATTTCGTTGCCAATTGATGTCAAGCGAAGAATTACAGCAACTTGAAAATTCTATTGGAAAAATTATATCAATAAATTCGTTTTTCTCTACTACAATGATAGAAAAACAAGCACTTCAATTTGTTACAGTAACGTGTGAACCACCGAATAATCGATTAGAAAAAGTTTTATTCAAGATTACGGCTGATCCTCGCGTTGGTTCTACGAAACCATTTGCTAATATTCGTAACATGAGCTATTTTCCCAATGAATCAGAAGTGTTATTTATGCTGGGTTCAATATTTCAACTCAATGAAGTTGAACGTAACCAGGGCGAAGATGGTAAATTAGCAATTATTCGAATGTCATTGTGCGGCAATACTAATGATGATTTTAATAAACTATATGATTATATGAAGGAGCAAAACGGAACCGAAGAAACCAATCTCTTATCATTGGGTCATGTTCTATGTTCGATGGGACAATTTAATCTGGCAGAACAGTATTGTCATCGATTTCTTAAAGAGCTTTCGTTAGTGGATTCTTTACGTGTCGATGTCTATTGTGAACTTGGTATAATTGCTAAATCGACAGAACAATATGATAAGAGTCTTGAACTATATCATAAAGCATTAGAGTGTTCAATGCAGAGCCGTCCATCGGATCATGTGGCTATTGCTAATATTCATAATAGCATCGGTGAAGTTCATTGGGCAAAGGACGAGCAAAATCAAGCACTTGAATCGTTTAAACAAGCTATAGCAATCTTGGAGCAAGCACATCTTGACATGCATCACGATATGGCTTTGTTCCAAGACAACATCGGTCGTGCTTATGAATATCAAAAGAAATATTCTGAAGCTGTAGTTTACTATGCAAGATCATTAATGATTCGACAAAAGTGTTTACCATCTGATGATCCTGAGTTGGCTATGTCGTTTACAAATGTTGGTAGCATGCGCCTCTGTCTCAATATGCCAGATCTTGCATCCGCACACTTGAAACGAGCACTGGAAATCCGAAGAAAGAAACTTCCTTCACAACATCCAGACATTGCAGTATCCGAAAAAAACTTGGGTGATTTGTATGAACGTCAGGGAAAAAGTGAACTAGCGCGAAAACATTTTATGCAAGCACTCGAAATTCAAAAAAATTCACTTCCGTATGATCATCCAGATATTGCAAAAACAGAGAAACATCTGGGTGATTTCTATGAACATCATGGCGAATACC